AAGTCAGTTGCTATTACAGAAACCAAAAACTTGCCTTATAATGCCACCTCCTGGTAGGCAAAGAAAAGTTCCTAACTGTCAATCTGTTGAATCAAAGTAAATAGTCTTACCTAAATAATAAAGGTGTTTATTACTTCAAATGCATTGGCAGAAGCACATTCATCAAATAATATTAAGAAAAAACAATAAATTGACATCTCAAAAAGTCAATGGCAATGATATAGCAAATTAACCAAAGATACAGAATGTTTTCATCTAATTGATAAAGGATTCAAAATAGTTGTTGTGAAGAAACTCAACAACTACAAACTCAGAGAGGCAATTCAGTGAAATGAAATTAGTAAAAAGAAGGACTTCTGTAGTGAAGAGACTGAAATTCTAAAAAAGAAGCAGAAATTCAGGAACTGAAGAACTCAATAAGTGAGATAAAGATTGCATTAATTACAAAAGACTAGAAATAAAATAGCTGATTATATGGAAGACAGAATAAGAGAGTTTAAAATAGGCATTTAAATTATTGAGATGGAAAAGGAATGAGAAATAAGACTTTTGAAAAGATGAAAACTATAAGACATCACTAATAGAACCAAAATAAGATGTAGTTGTACCAGGAAAAGGGAGGAGATGGGATTTAAAGAAATAAATAAGAAATCCACAAACCTAGGAAAGGAATTGGATATACAAGTTCACAAAGTTAACAGAACACCTTCCTATCTCAATGCAAAAAGACCTTCTGAAAGACACATTATAATAAACCATCATAAGTTAATGATAAAGGATGTAAAGACAATGGGGGAACAATAACCTACAAAGGAACTCCCATTAGGCTTTCAGAAGATTTCTTAGCAAAAATTACGGGTCAGGAGAGAATGAAATGACATATTTAAAGTAGTAAACGATAAAATTTGCTAATATAGCTGAATAGTGCCCATCAAATGAAGCTAACCACAGCCTGCAATGTAAATAGCAGTACCAAAGTACCAAAACCCCTGTGCAAGGCCAAGAAGGAGGTGCCATGCATGGAGACCACTGAGGTTGTGAGCATGCATTTGCAGGAGACGATCATACTGCCTTAGACTACAGAAGGAACAGTAGGTGTCTATAATGGCCTTTAGTTTCATTTCAGAAAAACTTAAAGTTGTACATATATTTGTTCTATGATGAAAATAGAACTTTTGAAGATGTGAGGACTAATCTCTTCATAAAGTTTTATGCTATGAAAACAATAAAAGATAGGGTAGACTAAATTAGACGAGATCTAAGTAAACTAATGTGATATGTGAACTTTGATCCAATTTTAAAAAGAAAGAACACAAAGCTATGAAAGGTGGTTGAAAATTTAGATTCTAATGACGATGGTATTAGAATTGTTGAAAATCTGCATTATTCTTCAGAAGCTAATATATGACATTTATGTTCAAATGGAAAGAAAAAAATATATATATATATATCATATACTTCTATAGATTTACCTATACTTGTATAGATATATGTATATAAATTCACATATACCTAGATCAATATATAGGTAGGTAGGTAGGTAGACAGAATGGAAGATAGAAAAATAGATAGGGGAAATATTACAAAATGTTAACAACTGGTGAGCCTACATAGATGACGTGGTTGTTCACTGTACTTTTCTGTATTATTAATTTTCAAAAGAAGCTGGAAAGCATTCCTAAGTTTGCATATTTTTGTTTTTCTTTTTGCATTTTAATTTGAATTCCTCCTTTTTTTCTTTTTTGTAAGTGACTCCCTATATTTCAGTGTCCATTAAGCCTAACAACTTGACCACAGGTAGAATTATTTAGCAAATACACAACATCCAGAAGAGGGCAGCATAGTAAACTTTAAGGATGATCTTAACAGTACTAACTCTTAGAATTGGTGGTGGGAAACCCTTGGGGATTACAACTGAGATGAAAAATGCACAAAATGAAGAATGATGTTTTTTAAAAAAAATCCTGCTTCATAGTTCACTAAGAAACCTACTCAGATTCAACCCTCATATTTCTCCAGTGAAAACCTCTAACATGCCTCTGTGGTGCCTACATGCTGTCTTCTCTCTTGCTAAAGTTAAAGATGCGTCTCCTGTCAGAATACAATCTCTCCCCTTGGGTGCTGAGTCAGCTCCCCTGACTTCGCAGACTTAATACTGAAATTAGGTTGACATCTCTATCAATTTCTTTCCCCCTGATGGCCTGATGGTTAATTCTCAGTAGCACAGACCAAAAAAAAAAAAAAATGCTAGAGGATCTTTAGTCTTACCCTTACTTGCTAAGGGTTTGGATGTGGTTTATCTCAGGACTTCAAGAATGGCACAACATTTCTTTTTTATAAAAAAAAAAAAAAACTTCTAGATAATGCAAAAAAGAAATCACAAGGGAATTTTTAAAAATTCTTTATACTAAGTGATAATTAAAATACAACATATCAAAATTCCTGGATTCACAACCCAACTGCCCAAAAGTAGATGACCAGATTTAAAAGATGTGGTACATAATGCACAATGGAATATTACTCAGCAATCAAAAAAATAAACTCATGCCTTTTGCAGCTGGAAGGGACCATGTTTAATGAAAAATACCAGATGTTTTCACTCATAGCAGGAGCATAAAGGGCCGGGGAAGAGGGTAAATAATAATGAAAAATAACTATATACCAGAGTGGGGAACAGGATAAAAAATGGGGGAAGGGGAGTGCACAGGTGAATTGGTGATGTGAAGTCCATGGGGATTACAGCTGAGATGGAAAAAGACACAAAATGATGTAAAAATAAACTATTGTAAAAAAAAGAAAGAAAGAAAAAGAAATTCCTGGGATTCAGCTGAAATAATGCTTGAAGGAAATATACAATTTCAAGTGTTTATACCAGAAAAGTCTAAAATCAGTGTTCTAAGGTTTTACTTTAAGAAGCAAGGGGAAAAGTATAAAATAAACCTAAGCTAAATGTACAAACTCTTGCATTTATTTACAGTTTAGTATACATTCACCTTTAGTCCCAAGCAGAACATATAAAGAACTTATGAACAGAAATAAAATAGAAAATTAATAGAGCCAAAATTGTTTAAATAAAAGGTCAACAAACTTCCAGTTACACTAGTGGAGGAAAAAAGTGAACACAAATCACTAAAATCAGGAATGATCACTATGTAGATCATACAGACATATAAAACATTTATTTATGAACAACTTTATGTCAGCAAATTTGACAACTTAGATAAAATGAACACATTTCATTGAAAATATAACTTACCAAATTTGAAACAAGATGGAACAAAAATTTTGAATAACCTTACAACTTTAACAGAAGTTGAGTTCATTATCAAAGAAAACTACAAACCAGATGTTATTGCTGATGAAGTCTATCAAAATTCAAGGAAGGCATAATACCAATCTTATATAAATATTGTTTTTCTGGAAAAAGAGAAGGGACCCTTTCTCAACTTATTTTATGAAGCCAGCATGGGCTGAATACCAATTTCTGAAAATAAAAATACAAACAAGTCATGAACCTGAGATATTAAAAACACACTTTAAAATAGATACGATATGACAACAAAAACACAGAAAAACCTATAGAGTATAACCAAAGTGATACTCATAACTGAGAAGGGTTATCTCAGGACTTCAAGAATGGCACAACATTTGGCAAGGTATATTATAATTCAGTATATTAACAAACCAGAAAGAAATCATGTGATCACATCAATAATGAGCAATGAAAAACATTTGAAAGTCATCATTAAAATGTAAGACCAAAATTCTTGACAAACCAAAAACAACTTTTCAAGCCCCATAAAGTATACCTACCAAAAAATTACAGTAAATACTAAACTTGAAGGTAAAATCTTAGAAATGAGAGAACGAAATACGCTTATGCACTCCACAATTTTTAATCAATAAAAACTGCAGATACTATAGTATTTTGAAAACACAAAATCGTATGCTTTTTGTATTTTGAAAGCACAAAATTGTATGCTTTTTGTAGATACAGATATTTCTAAAGAAATGGTTATTTTCCCGCGGAAACATACAGGTAAATAAATACATTGAAGTAAGACCGGCAAGAAACACATCAGCCTTACAACTTTTGAGGACAGCAGGTAGGACTAAGAAGTACAGGACCTAGGGTTTCATTAAAGGAGACTTCAGCTTTATTACCATGATTCTGTTTGTTATAGGAAAATGTTTTTTACGAACTACCCGATAACTAAAAAGTAATTTTAACACCCTAAATTTTAAAAGCACTGGCACTGGGAATATTCACAAAAACCGCTTTTAAAAAAAAGACATGTAAGGATTCAACTAGCTTTGGGGTCGTTCCTTACAAGTTTGAAAACCACAGTTCACTTGCAGTGATGCTATTTGGTAACACATCCCAGAACCGAATAAACTGCAATTAACAAATCAAGTAAGTCTAGATTTAGGCCAAGTTACCAAGCAGAACCTGAAGGTACCTCTTGAGTTTGCCAATGTCCTGTGTATTACAGTGAAATCAAGACCTCGTTTCCTTCTTTATGGACCAGAACACATTAGCCCTGAGCCCACTAGGAGCTGCCTGAATTTTCATTCAGTCGGTCCTAGCTTTTCCATTTATATTTGATTTTCGGGTTCATCCGTACTCCCAGGCAAAGAGCAGGAAACCAACACATTTATTTCTTCAAATCTTGAAGATAACTGCGGAATTGTCGTAGTAGGTCCCAATGAAACCAAGCGCTGTCTAAACCTGCCCTATAAGTGTGTGTGCCCGCGAGCGTGAAAATACACTAGCGAAAGGAGAAAAGGGAAAGCGGCGATCTCCATCGCTAGCCGCCTTTAACCTGCCAGCTGTGCTCAATAGGGGAAAAAGCTGAAGCCCAGAGCGAGAATGACAGGGATTCCCCCGGCTTCCAAGAGCCAAAATAAGGGCGTGAACGAGCGTGGGCGGGACAGCGCGGCCTCCGCTCCTCCCCGGGCCGGGGCGGGCTGAGGCTGCGACCCACCTCTCCCGCGCCGTCCTCGTCACCGCGCCTCGGGACAGCCATGCCAGGTCGCCTGCTGAGTGGCCTCTGGCAGCGATGGCGCCGTTATAAGTATCGCTTTGTACCCTGGATCGCGCTGAACCTACGGCACAACCCAAGGTGAGACAACTAGGCGGCTAGGCTGGAGACGCTTCTCCCTCCAGCCGGGGACGCCACCGCCGCAGCAGGTCTTAAGGAGGACAGGCCTCCGGTGGGCGGAGCCTCAGGCGACTGGGAGACTTGAGTTGGGTAGGCCACGGCAAGCTAGCCCTGGGGGGGCGGGGCCAGGGCAGCCCGAGGGGCCTCAGGTGGGCGGGCGAGGCCCAGGTTGGCTGAGCGCGAGGCGGTCTGTGGGCGGGGCCGACGTGGGCGGGGCCCGACGTGGGCGGGGCCCGACGTGGGCGGGGCCCGACGTGGGCGGGGCCCGACGTGGGCGGGGCCCGACGCCGGTGGAGCGTTTGGTGGGCGGGGGACTTTCTTCCCAGCTTACCCTGCGCGGCAAGATCCATGAAACCCCGGCTTTTCGCCCGCGCTGGTGCTTTTGCGGTTTACTCTGACTGGGGCTAGTGTCTCTGGGCGGAAAACTGAAACTTGAGAAAGAAGAAAGCTCATACTGTCTGAAAGTGAGTGGCTTTCCCTGCCAATCCATAGTTAGAAATTTGAAACTCTTTAGAAAAGTCAAACCGAGTTTTATTTTCACAGCTGGGCTGCGAGGGGAACAGCTTGGAGTAGTTGACGCGTAAAAACGAGCAAACAGGCACTAAAAGCACATGGAAGTGTTGGATTTATAACAGAGTCGGTCCCTGAATGATGCTTCTGAATTCTGAGTGGTGGTCGTGGGATGGGTGTTATCGCTGCTTTAGTAAGAGACGTGAAAAATTTCTGGTGCTCACTTGAGGAGACTAGCTCCGTTGAAGGGCGTTTAATACCCAAGGAGCTTGCCCCAAGTTCTTGTAGTACAGAAATGTGAATTCAGACGCATCACTGTGAGGCAGTAATTGTTGACTTTTTCCTCAAGAGTAAAAATAATACCGTGATGGAATTAAAACTTTTGCAGTCATTAAAGTGCTCTTAGTGACGGTTATAATAAATTTGCCCGAAACTGCACTATAAGAGCCATTGCGATATAAGAATTCTTATTATGTGATAATTTTCAAATAGTGGCTGTGAGTAGGAGTGGTAGGTAAGCTAGCTCTGTTTCTGCTTCTGGCTCTCGCAGCCTTACATGTGGGCCAATTCCATAACATCTCCGAGTCTCGGTTTCCTGGTCTGCAAAAATGAGGTGGTGAACATAAGTATCCAACAGCATTTGGCAAAGGATGTTGAAAAATGCTGTTGGAAGTTAGGTAACTAGAACCATCCTAAACAGCTCTTTCCAAACTTCTTAGAGTCCTGAATAGGAGGATAATCTTCAGTAACTCAAAAGACTGTCTTGACTTCTGTCCGTTGAAGGGTAGTGAATAGAAACTTTTCCCATTTTCAGGACCCTCCGATATGTTCCAGAGGAATCCAAAGACAAAATTATCTCAGATGAAGATGTCCTAGGAACATTACTGAAAGTTTTCCAGGCGTTATTCATAAATGATTTCAATAAACATTCAGATATCTTGACTATGCTTCCAGAATCTGTAAAATCAAAATATCAAGACCTACTGTCAGTTCAACGTCCAAGGGTGAACCTGCTTGAACACAGACATCAACAGCAAAATATCTTTAAGCCAGAAGAAATTCTTTATAAGACATTGGGTTTCAGTATTGCTCGAGCAACTAGTTCGTTGATATCGGCTGGGAAGGGTGTCTTCGTTACAAAAGGCTTGGTACCAAAAGGCGCGGTTGTATCTATGTATCCTGGTAATGGCACCATTATTTAGGAAAGTTTGACGAAATGCTTAGTCTTGTAATCGTTAGAATAAGGGTTGATCTGGAAATTCAAACTCAAAAAATCGGCTTTTAAAATACCGATGTGAAAATAAACTGTTTGTAAATTATGTGTTGCAAAGTATCATGTAGTATTTGTTGGGAAAAATGCATTTTCCTTTAAAGGACAATTTTTTTTGGTTTAAATTTCAGATACTATAACTTGACCTATTTTGTAGTAAGTCCTCACTTACTATCATTGGTAGGTTCTTAGGAACCGTGACTAATTGAAACTACATGTAATGAAATAAGGTTCTCTAGTAACATTTTCTTCAAGGTTGACAAGAATTTTTTTTTTAATCAATGTTATAGTGAAACAACTTTATTCAAGGACCTGATGTACTAAGAAAGAGGTAGAAAATGTCAGTTTGGCTTAATATTGACACCTAAAGATAAAAGTGGTTTGGATTTAAATTCATATTTAAACCATAAATCATTCAGTAAATACCTTCCCACTATTTGTACACTTGGAAGGCAAAGCAGCTTCTTTGCCAAACATCACTGACTAGGCTGTTCAGTAGTATATTTTACTTATTAAACTGACATTATATTCTTTGGTAGGGGAAAAAGTTGTGCTTAGGTCAGATAAACTTAAACCTATATTTTCAAAGTCATTCTGCTATTTTCTGATTTTATGTTCCCAGGTAAGGGGGTCTCAGCTTTTTCCTGTACAACTGACCAACTCTGCAAAGACAAAATAGAATAAGCCAGCAACAAACAATACTAAAATAAATTTACTAGATTAACATATCTATAACATAGGAAGCACCCAGTAAACATTCATTTTCTCCTTTCCTCCACTGTGAAAGGAGAAACAACCTGAATGTCAAATTCACCTATTCCCATATATACTTTCATCATTTGTTTATTAAATGTATTTTTTTTAAAAACATAATAGCTATAAAAATCTTCCTCTACTAAAAACATAGCTTTGTAAAACGGAGCCTGAAATGTGTGTTCACATTTTTCTTAGCCAGAGTAGGGTCATATTTTATTCAGCTGTGTGAACAAGTTAGTTCTGCGTTCCATCTGCTATTGGGTGCTTTTTAAGGGAGGAAAGTAGCCAAAGAGAATGTTATTTATGGTCCAGATTGGAGGTAAATGTTAGAAAAAGGTAGGGGAATCAAAATAATTTCTTCCGTTTATGTTCCAGACAAAGTTCTTTGTGCTGTTTCTTTTTTTATATTATAATGCATTGTGATAATCACTTTGTCTTGTTCTATGCTAGGTACAGTATATCAGAAGTATGAGCCAATCTTTTTCCAGTCCATTGGAAACCCATTTATTTTTAGATGCCTGGATGGGGTACTCATTGATGGAAATGACAAAGGAATTTCAAAAGTTGTATACAGGTAAGTTGGTGACCATGTTGTATTTATAGGAAACAGAATCTTCATTTATTGCAATGATTAACTAATGGCATTTATACTTTAAATAAAAATCTATCTATGCAGCTAGTTTGTAGCAGTTCCGTTACCCTATTGATTAGACAAAACTTTTTAAGAGAAGCTGTACTTGTGCAGTTCTAGGGTTAATTTTTTATTTTTGAATTTCATGATACAGAAGAATCATCCCTTAGCTAGTGCTTTCATCTGTTTCAGATCTTGCACTGGGAGGGATCAACTTGGTCCTTTAAAAATGAGTGATAGTACATGGCTAACATCAGAAATTCTTAATCCACTGGCTGTAGGACAATATGTCAACAATTGTTCAAATGGTAAGTTGATATGGTGGGGCTGTGAGACAAGATAGCAACACAGCAGGGGCAATTCTTTTCCTTTACTACGATACTGAGGGCTAGAAGCAGTTGTTTACTGTCTCAGCTATTTAAAGACCTTAAGTAAATGATAACTTTTTTAAAAAGAGATTTATTTTATTTACTTGTCCATACAAAAGCTAGGGAATAGGCCAGAGGTGTGGGGGTGAGTTGATTTACCAGAGACAGAGTGGGAAGAAGAACAGGAGACTAACTGAAATATACTGCTGAGGGGAGCAGCAGGCAAGACAGGAGAGGTGTCTGCTGCACCATGTGGGTCAGCTCCTGGCCTGGATTGAACTCAATACTGCAGTCACTGCAGTGGCTGTTGATAGCTTCCTAGTGCTGAGACTTAACTCCTTGCACCACCAGGGAGGCCCATAAATGATAACTTTTTGAGAGCAGATATCAAAGAAAGAATTTGGGAAAATGATATATATTAATTGGAATGGTATAATTCACTATCAGTATTTTTCTAATTTTGCAGTAAATAGAAGCTCTAGATAACAGCTACCTTTTTGATTATTATTTTAGCATTTTATCTGTAGTTAACTTGAATGACTTTGTCAGTGCCTCAGTATAGCCTTATAGATTAATCATGACTAGAATCCCCTTTCTGTTGCTGAGTTTGTGAGTCTTACACCTTCTCTAGGGCTTCCCACAAGTGAAAGCTGCATCATTTGGCTACTTTTAGCTTATGTGTCTGGTGTTAGGGAGAAAGTCTGACCCTTTTACTTGACTTTAACCTTTATGAACCACTGTTTCCTGATCTCCAAAAAGTAAGTAAAGAAACATAATAGGTCCTGTATTTCATTTATATTGTATCAGTATAATCTTGATGAGAACAAAACAGTAGGATGAAGTTGAACAAAATAATTTATTCAAGGACCTGGCTTCTTTGCAAGTTATTTTCCTGAGAGTTATGATTTCCTAGAACCTAAGAGAGATTAAGTGAGAATCTATTATGCCTGCAGAGTATGTACATAATGTAGTCTGCCTGGAACATAACATTGAATATTAATTTGAACATGTTCTGATAATTTAGAAAACTACCTATCAAGCATCATAATTCTGGTTTGTTTTCCATCATCATATAAAAGGGCTGTTTATAAAAAGCATGTACTTGTTCCTAGATAGAGCAGCTAATGTCTGTTATCAAGAATTTGATGTGCCTACAGTTTTTCCTATAGAACTGAAGCAATATCTTCCAAACATTGCCTACAGCTATGACAGACAAAGGTTAGTCCTCTGGAAGAGGTTTTCCTGTGTTGTCTTATACTTAAACATGCATATTTTCTAAGAAAAATCTATATAGAATTTGGGGTAATTTTTTTTTTTTAGTGAAAAATGACAACTTAGATTTTTATGTTCCTCATATCTTAATGTGTTAATGTAGCCTTATTTGAAATTAAAAATTTTCCATTAACTTGGCTCATTTTTCATTTTGTATAGTACTTTGCAAGTATTAGTTGTAAACTGTTTTTCCCAGTGATTCTTGATTTTCATACTACATAATCTTCAAATACAGTTTGACTTTAGTCATTGTAAGGATCATGTTCTCTAACTCCCATGAAAGCACTAACCAGATAAAGGGACTAACTACACATTGTTTATTTTTATTTACCTGCTCTGAAACTTAAGAGTGAAAAAAAAGGGGGGGAGGGAGGAAATAATTGAGAAGACACATGTTTTAATGCAGCATTTAGATGCTGCTCATTAAGTAGAAATTCTACTGGACTAGTCAATTAAAATTTTCTTAGTATAAATATCTAGAATTTAGAGTTCTTTATTACAATGCTACATATAAGATAAAAATCTTTCTATTATTTCACTGAGCTGCCAGTTGCTACAAATTTGTTTTGTATGGATTTAATTTCCTTTTAAAATAAGTGAGAATACTTAAACTGTTCCTTGCACTTAAAAGTTGGTAACTTTGTATCTATGTGTTTCACAATTAGGGTTTTTAAACCAGATACTCTGGGGTAATAACTCTGCTGTTGAACAAATACAGGAAAAGTTACATAAGTAGGGACTTGTGGATGTATCTGTATCTTGTGTCCATAAATAATATGGTTTAGAATTCCAGTTCATTTTGCCTGTCAACTTTGAAGACTGCAAAGAAAAAACTAATTTTTTTAATGTTAAACTATAATGTTTAAATGCTTTTAAAATGCTTTCTATACCAGTTTCAGGGGCCTAAACATCTCAAAAAAAAAAAAAAACCTCAAAAGCAATATTCTCAAAATAGTCTGTTGTATAAATTATTGTATTGTTTTTGATTTGTGACTCTTTAAGTCACATAAAAGACATACTCTAAAATACCTCCATCAGTGTTAAGAATTATTTCCTTACGAAATCTAATATATTAGCTAAGACAATAGTGAAAAATCTGAATAATTATACTTATAAAACTCATATCGGTTATATAAAAATAGGAACCTCTGTTAGTACATCTGACAGTACATCTGGTTGTCCTTTTTTCTTTCTTTTCAGCCCAATTCGATGTGTCGTTCTTGTCGCACTCAGAGACATCAAACAAGGAGAAGAACTTTTTTCAAACTACTATACAATTGTCAGCTAGCTCTGTGAATTAGAAATTAGCTTTGGCACTTCAGGGTGAGTTAATTCTGAATGTTTTTATTACTCATTTCTCTGGATTCCACCTGTAGAAAAGTATTTTGAAACCTAATTGGAGTGAGAATTTTTTTTATTGATATATTTATGCTTCAATTTTGATAAGACATTTGCTCCATTAAAATTTCAAATGAAATTCCAGTTTTAATTGGTTTTCACTTAAATACATTATAGTTTTTAAATTAAAACCTACTTAAACACTTTTTCATTTTTTCTTTTATTTCAGTTTTTCTTTTAGTTTGTGTATCATCTTAGTTTACATTTTAACCAAATTTGTATTGCCATAAGCAAATTTGGGAGTGTTTCTGTGTTTTAAGATTATCCTGTATGGGTAAAAGAAAAATGGTGAGTCATTTTCTCTACTTTGAACATTTACACACACATACACAGAGCTTATAAAAGTAGTTTATAAAAGATTTTGGGCATAGGAATATACTTAAAACAGTGTTACTAGTAAAATACTATTTATAGTTTCTATTAGTAATGCTCCTGACCTATCTTATCCACCAAATGAAGAGTGATTTTTTTTTTAAGGTTTATTTGTTTGTGCATACAGAACTGGCCAGAGGTGCAGGGATGGTGAGAGGATTCACCAGTCAGTGGGCAGCAGAACAGGCAGATTGATGAAGTACACTGCTGAGAGGATCATCAGGCCGGTCAGGAGAGGTCTGCCACACCATGTGGTGTGCGCAAGTGGGTTTAGCTTCTTAGTGCTGTGCTTTAACCCGCTGTACCACCATGGAGGGCCCAGTAGAGTGATTTTTTTGAGATTATCTTTGGAGAACTAGTCACCCAGGATAACTGGTTCCTTCTCTGGTAACTCTGTCACCAGTGTAGTCAACCCAGTAGAGTTCTTGAACTGATGGTCTAGTTCAGAGATAGAGTAATAGTGACTCAACCAAATATGACTCAGAATCCACTTCTCTGGAGTTTTATTAGTAATGCTTATTTTGATCTTCACTGACCTAACTACTGCATCCAACTCTCAGGTCCAAATTAGATAGGGAAAATAATACTGATTGAGGCCCTCAAATCCTCATATGAAACTTGTATTGCAAGATACTGTCACCTTCATTGCTACACCGCACAGCTTTTGTTTTTAATTTCAGTAATTACCTTTTTTCACTCCTGCCCCCTCTACATCTGAGTAATTTTTTTTTTTTAAAGATTTATTTATGCCTACAGAACTAGGATACAAGGCCAGAGGTGCAGAAGGTGCTAGGATTCACCAGAGACAGAATGGGGAGCAGAATGGGCAGATTGACTGAAATACACTGCCTAGGGGACCAGCAGGCAGGTCAGAAGTCTGCCATGCCTTATGGGTCACCTCCCTGGCCAGGGATGGAACTTGTGCAGCGGTGGCTGCGAACACTTCATAGTGCTGTGTTTTAACCCGCTGTACCACCAGAGAGGGCCCAAGTGATTCTTTTACATGTTTAGTTAGATTTTGACTACCTCTGTTCAAACACTCTGATTACACCTACCACGGAGTAAATGCAGTCCTTCGCACATGTTACCACTCACCTCCTGACCCCAGCCACACCTGCCTCCTTGCCACTCCTTAAGCCTGTCTGGTACAATCCTACCCCAGAGGTTTTACACTAGTTCTCTCGGCCTGCCATGCTCTTCTAGGCAGTCCTACAACTTATTTCCCCCCTCTAGGTAACCTTAACTAACTAGAAATTTGTGATCACGATGTGCCACTCCTGAAACTCCACATTTCACCTGCCTGCCTTCTTTGTGCCATTTCTCATCTCTGTATACACATATCTGTGAACATTTCTGATTCTTTTCTTCACTCTTGTCATTTGTGTTACTAAAACTGAGAGATCAGTGGGTCTCATAAAAAATCTAATCTATTTGCTCAAGATTCTGTTATCTGGGATTTTACATAAAACACAAATACTACTAACTCCCAAAGACAGATTACATGGGTTCAAGTGTTTAGGGGTGATGTGTTTCAATGTCAATGACTTTTTAAACAGTTAAGAAAAAAATGTGTATTCTAGAGGAAGATCATTTATGGTAAATGCTAATTGTCCAATCTAAGTTCTTTATACCATTTTTTTTCTTACAAGTTTTCTTTTTAAAGTTGGGGAAAAGTCATGAATTGGCTAAGAGTAATTTAGGTCATCATCTAGTGAATACTATGTGAAAGATCCTAGACTTCAAAGGATAAATCATGGTTCCTGTTCATAATCTGTTCACAGGACTATATAGCTTACCTAGTACTGTGACTTGGTTTAGGATAGAGAGGTGAAAATATTTTTAAAAGAAAAAAGCATTGATATTAAAAAAAAAAATGAACAACTTTTTACTAAAATAATTTTTTAGAGTTGTAAGTGGATGATTCATTTCTAACATGCTTTTGAGTTCTACTCCAGGAAACAACTTTGTGGCAATACTGGCTTTACCCCTATAAAAAACAGAATCACCAAATCAAAGTATACACAGTATGTCTAAATGTGTCAGCTACTGTGTGAAAAATCTGTCAAACCTTGGTCTAGGACCATGAATTCAATGCCTACGTGCAGCTTAAACAAGAAAAGGATGAGGGCTTACTCATTGGTTGGGAAATGGTAAGCAGTATAATGGTCACAGGACTACTTTAAATTAAATTAAAAGTTTTACAGTGAAATGCCCAAGTTTATAAATGCTATGATGCCTTTGGGAGGTCAAAGCAGCAGCAGACTCAAAAACTATACCATTCATGGAAACTGGTCAAAAGGGGTAACACCTAGACATCATGATTAATCCTGCTTCTCCCTAAAAGCCTTAAGTTTTATTATGGAGCTTGCATGTGGTATACTTGGCCGTGCTCCTGGCCATATTTAAAACCTCAGTGTTGTCCCAAGCTCTAAAGGCCCGCTGTGTATATGTGTGTTCATCAGAATCTGTACATGAAGGACCTTTGGTGACAGTGAACAAAGGAATGTGGTTTTACAGAAGTAACCAAAGCATTGGAGTCAAGGTGTATGTTTTCATTTTATCTTCTTGTCCTTGTTAAAAAAAAAAAAAAAAAAAAAAAAGCCTGCATGTTATATACAATCTAATCACTATATATTAAGAATCAAACTATATAAAGCAAGCTCTGGTCAGAGCAAGTGCACTAATAGGGACAAACTTGTGAAATTAAACTGAGATCTCAGGTTTAGAAAGACAATGGCTTAGGGAAGTATAATTAGTTTATGAAACTATGAGTATTACAAATAAAACCAGTTTACCATAAACTTACTCTTACAAATAACATAACTAAATTTCAATTATTGTATCTTCTTAAAAGACAGTTATCTTGTTCAGCGTTTGAAGCATAGCAGACATTCAATAAATACTTCCTGAATTAAACTAGAAGCATAATCCCCAGTTTGGGAGGACTAGAATTTTATCACTGATGGAAATTCACTATGGAGGATTTAAAGAAAATTTATCAATCTCTATTACTTAGCTATTAAGATTTACTCCATCTAAAACCAATTTAACAGTATTTAATATCTATACCCATTTGTTACAGCTTAAATAAAAATTTATTTGGCAAATACTCACAAGAACCAAGAAAAAAGATTTCCAGATTTTTATTTCTGGAACTGTACACCAGGTATTAAAGTACAACAAATACAAAATAATGCTCAAAAAAATCAGTGTTTATGTACAAATATTAAAATCAATGCGACAATAGCAACTTCCTCTTGAACTTCTGATACTAAAACTTGTTCTGATTGTCACTAATTAATCTCATACTCACAGGGTACTTATTTCAAACAGGGACAATTGGAATCACTGGTCATCTAAGAGGAATTTTAATATTTACCGTAGCTAACAATAAAACTAATAGTTTCCTCCTTTTTGTGAAAAAATTAAGAACTTCTTAAAAAACATAGTAATGTCAATATTTTTATAAATTATTTCAATTTCCTTTGTAGACAATGTGCTTTGAAACTCTGGGCAAACAATCTCCATGGTGGTCAGGTTTATTCATTAGTTTACATTCAAAGTTGAAATATTCACTAGACTTTGGTTAAATTAAACAGTATCACTATATTCTATTAGATTTGACGTTCTCAAATATTTATGACCCTCAATTTAAAAAGTTAAAAAAGAAAACAACTGCACAATTCTTTGACCTAATTGTACACACTTTAGTATTGTTTAAACAGTATTCTGTATCCTTCAAGTAAATTCAGCAGTTGACCATGACAAGAGGAAAACTAAACATTTAAAAAGGGAGCATGAAATAGATGAAATCCAACAAACAAAAGTAAAGTATTGCTATAATCACAGCACCAGTTACACTTCTAAATGAATCCTGTCCTCTTCATATTCCCTGTACATAAAAGATACATCAGCCAACACTGCAACTGCTCACCATGGATTTTTGGTTTGTTCATACAAAAATAACGTGGCAAAAGAAAAAAAAATAATTTATCACAGTTTGTTATAAGAATTGTGCTTAACACTTGATCAAGGCATTGTTTCTTTATGTGATTGCAAATCAGTTATTTTCATGCTCTTAAGCGCAATTCTTCTAATAAACAGTAACAAATTCTTTGTTAAGATGCTTAAATGGAGAGAAAAAAACAGTAAATCCAGCTTAAAAAGAAAATTCAATAAATAGCTATTTTACATGAATAAAGTCATAGTGGTACAATTTATGAATGTCACATCAAGCATGCACAAAATGGTACTATACATGGCAGAAGCAGTCAGAAAATATTGAATTAGATCTAAAAAGATATTAAGAATTTACACATATGTACAAAAATCTTGCAAATTATTGCCTCATTTTAACAAGGAATTAAAAGTAAACGTTACCAGCTAGTTAGCGCTCTCTAAGAGGCTAAAACCAGATTGGCATTTTAAAATCTATTAAACTAGCTGGAATTTATTTTCTCTCATATCATTTTCTGGATTTTGGTCAAAAATCTTTATTTAAATAACTAAAGTGTCCATTCAACTTGCTGATAATCAAAACTTTAGATAAGAAACACTGTTTCCATCTTATATCAAGATCCCAGCAATGCATAGATAAACTGAATATATTACTGCATCAGCTACAGAGAATGGGCATGTTCATTTAAGTGCAACTGGTATTAGCATTCAGTCATCTTTGTGTAAATTATTTTAAACAGACCAGCCACTGTAAACCCAGAACAAAATTAAAGTTATAATGATGGAAGAACATGGCCAGTACCTTTCT